CCGGAATTGCGGGAGGTAGTATGATGTAAGTGAAATTTTTTTTTTGTTGCACTACTTATGATTGCCAGTGTATCAGGGACTGGCGCTTAAAATTTTTTTCTAAACAAGCATCTAATATTGAGACTTTATAATACATTATTTAATGTTATTAATTTAATATGTTATTTTTTATTTTATGAAGATATTTCAGTATTTATTACGTATATAATCAATATGAAATTTGCTAATTGCATACTTTATACAGTTTTATCGTTATGAATAAAGTGTCAATTGTTGAACTAATATGCTTGATTTGAGTAATGTAGTGTTTGGATCCGTGGATATCCGACTATTTTTTGCTCAATCCATTGGATTTTTATATCCAGTCATAAACTATCCGATTAAAACCGTTGAAACCTGTTGAATTTATTGAAGCAAATTTATGATAAAAAATAGCAATTTATACAAAGTCAATAAATTAATAAATTACTATTTAAAGTATTATCATACAGTATGATATACATCATATGTTTTAGTCTTAAGGAAACACCATGCCAACATGATTTACATTCCGTTTAAGAAATAACATTCGCTACATTTTGTTTACAATTTCCAATTTTTGTCATATACGTATCCCCATTTTTCTTAGTTTTTAGCACTGCCTTTGGATCCATTATCGGTAGATAATCTTTAAAATGACCCATATCTAACTTCTTTTTCTTGATCCTTCCATTTTTTTGAGTTCTTTAGATTTATCATTGTTCGTTGTAGTTGAATATCCATTAAAGAAGCCCTATTAGGTTCTTTATTAGAACTTTCACTAGGTGATAAATATCCTTCACTATACTCCATTTCCATTTACGGTAAGTAATATGGGGTTATATAATACACAGAGCAAGTGACATAAGATAACGAAGTAAAAGTTGGACTACACATCGATCAAATCTAAGTTTATTTATTTTTTGATTACATCAGTGATCTATCAAAATAGACTTTAAATTAAATTCGTATTAATTTCGGATGATCCGACGGATAACGGATAAATATCCACTGGATTAAAATAGTCGGATCATCAACGGATTTGTTCAACGGATCCAAACACTAGAGTAATGTAAACATGGAAATTTAAGGAAGAGAAAGAATTTCGCACTTCCTAAAATATTCGGATATATTATTAAATAGTCAGCTCATATCTTCGAATACCATATTTGCGCATAATAGCACACATGCGCGTTATTTCGAAACCCCATTTTTTCAAAATTGTTTTTTTTGACTCGAAATAACGCGCCGCTTAAATATACCATATTACATATTAGTGATGCCTGACGAAACCATGTGATGCTAATTATCACGGGCTATTACTTATAAAAAAATCATAATAGGTTGATTTTATATATTGTACCATGTGACAATTAGTATCACATGGTTTCGTCAGGCATCACTATTACATATTTTGATCGAATTTTTCAGGCTAAGTTCATTGATAAAAGTAGGGCTTCCTCTTGTAACCCAAATTTGTCAAAATAACATGCAGATGTGTGTCATTACGCGCAAATACAGTATGTCCTTGTAAATTTAACTCATTAATATTAAAACCTTATGGATACAATAATTCAATCAACTCTAGCAAACTTTGTAATATTTTAATAGGTAAATTATATAAACCTTTAATAGTCAAAATTCTGTAAATTTAACTGTTGATAAAAATATAAAAAGCACGAACGCTGTGAGCGTGGGAACTGTTCCGGAATCGGGAAATATGTGTGATACGGATATCAATCAACACTAAAACTAATCTAAACACTATTCTAAAACTACTAAACTCTATCTCAACCCTAATATGGCAGGCTACGATCGAGGCGTGGAAGACTTGGTCCGAGTTATTAGGGCCAATTAGAGCTCTTGATTACGTCACGAGACTCTAATGTCACGGGTTTAGACTACTAACTTTATGCAAATTTGATTTATCGGGGGGTAATTGGACCGAAACTTTGAAGTCAGAATGCTAGACTCTCTATGAATCAAACACTAATGAGTTTTTCCCAACTCTCACTCAGCTACTTTTATTGAAACGAAAAGATAGGTCTTAAATAGCTTTTGACCTTTGCTGCGCACATAGCGGATAAACTTTACTATCTTACATTATACAGTGAAGAAAAGCACGATTCAGTTCTTATTCAAAAGCAGCTACAAACTGGTATCGGCTTAGAGGGGACAAATTGTCTCTAGGGACAACTTGTCCCTCTTCATGAAAATCTAATTTTAGCAGTGTCGATCTTTCCTATTTTTCCGAACTTAGGTTATATAGTACTATATAATAGATAAATAAATAACACTAATAACATATCCATAACAATAAAAAATGATATAAATAATATAAAAAAAAAGAAAATATGTGGCTCGTGACCACCAGGGAGCCACTAGGGAGCCGCTCACAACACATGTAAACATATATTTTACGAAATTTTTGGTTTATTGTAATTAATATTGATCTTACCAGCTCAGTCATAATAGTTATTTCCTGGGCAGTTGGGTATAAGCAGGGATGAAATTTCTGCTTATACACATAGTGCCCAGGGTATAACTGATTTATGCCCTGTGATCTTGATATAGTGACCAGGGTATAAAATATTATATATCTCCTCATTAACAGAAAACCTTGGATAAGAGAAAAAAGAATCTTAAAACCAAAACTTAAAAATTACTTACAGTACATTTGTATATAATTACTACACTGGTGATCATAAATAATACATCAAAAAAAAAAATTCATTAGATCAAATTTTCTCACACAATTCTGTGTGTATTCTTTTACTTTTTTTTTTTTATTCGTAAATACTATCTATCCCTTTCATCAATAAAAATTTTTTTAAAAATTAATCAATAAATTTTTTTAGATACATGAGCTTTATTTGAATTCATATGTTGCATCTCTTTTGCTTGTTTTTACAACAGCATGAAGATAAAATACAAAAATTTTTTTGTACACTAAAAAAACAATTTTTTTTTCTATTTAATTCTCCCCACATGTTTACCATCTAGTATAGCCACGCTGAGCCCTAATAATGTCACAAACTCATTCTGGTATTAAATGAATCAAGTTGTACAGGTCTCAAGGTCAATTTGCTTTCACACCACCTGAATTTTTTCTTGGAGGTCTTTTTCACTAGAAATATTGCCAGGGAGCCTTCTCAAACAATAGTTGACCTCAGCCCACAGGTGTTTGATTGGGTTTAGATTAGGGGATGCAGGAGGCCACTTGAAGGTTTTTATCTCATTCCTTCTAAACCAATGTTTGGTTAAGGTTGCAGTATAGCAAGAGGCACCATCTTGCTGAAAAATTATATCCCACGCCCTAAATTCATGATTTCTTACAGTTTCCAGAAGGTTGTCACAAAGTATTAGCTAGTACAACTTACCATCTATCATACTATCGATTTTACAAAACCCTCCAATGCTGTGGGATATAAAGCAACCCCAGATCATAATGAAGCCACCCCCATGCTTCACTTTTGGTTGTACATAGAAGCAGTTTAATGGTTCCTCGGGACACTTCCAGTAATACTGCTTTCTATCTAAGCTAAAAATTTGGAACCGTGATTTGTCTAACTAAATTACCTTTGACCATTCTTCAATGGACCAGTCTTCATATTTCTTGCAAAAATCAAGCTGCACTTTTTGATAATCAGTGCTTAAAAATGTTTTTTTTTGTTTAATCCTAAAATCAAACTATGCTCTCAGGGTATATGGCGAATAGTAGAAGCCGAAACATTAAGGTTTTCCTTTTCTTTCAGGTAGAAGACCACCTGTATAGCCATAGAGCAGTGTTGAGGGTAATTAGGTTTACAATCTTCATTTGGGCTGGTTTACTCAACAAAGGGGGGTGACCAACCCTTCCTAAATCTTGGAGCATCTAGTTTTCAGGCTACCTTTTCTTGATACTGGATGGTAAAAGAGGCAATATGGTGAGCCTGGCCTATAGACCTTGTCATATATTTTTTTTGTAGTGAGAGCAGGATTTGTGTCATTTGTTCGGAAGTGGTATGGTTTTTTTTTTTGGTTTTTTGATTATCAATTAATTCTAATATTGCACAAGATGCAAAATTAGACAAAGAAAATCTATTTATAAAATTGTATTATGTAGTACACATAAGCTATCTGATCTTTGGTAAAACAAGCAAAAATAATACATCATGTGTTTCATAACACATGTGTGATTATTTTTAGATTGGCAGTATAGATATTTGATAAAATTCTAAAAGCAAATAGTGATGCCATTCACGAATAAAAAAACAAAAAAGCAAAAGGATACACATGAAATTGCACGAGAAAATTTGATCTAACAAATTTTTTTTTTTTGATGCATTATTTATAGTCACCAGTGTACATATCTGCATATAAAGTAAGTTGAATATAAATAAAAAAGAGAACCTATTTTATTAAAATAATAGGTTTAATTGTCATTATTAACAATTTCTTACAACCAACTTTAACAATCAGATATCTTTATTAATTTTATTGGCTAGTAACTTTATTATTGCATTTTTTTTAGTTAGAATAAACCTTACTCCAATCTAGTTTCTTTACTGTGTATAGCTTTTGTCTTCACTTAAAATAATTATTTTCTAGTTAAAAGCTTCTTTAAATAAGTTTTAACTTTGCAAAAGTGATTTGAAAGTTCTGCAGTTTTAAATAATAAAATATATTACTTTTATATAATTTGTATTTTTAAGCTTTCTTTAATTTTACTATCTATTTTATTGAAAGTATTATATAATTAAAACAATAAATAAAATACATCAATATAAAATACAAAGGCTACTATTTCTAGTAATACAGTAATACAATTGAATTTACTTTATATTAAATTATTTAGCTTTTTTATATATTGCAAAATTAGTATACTTGAAGCAAAAATCTTCTAACTCTAATTCTAACCCAAAATATAATTCCAATATTTATTTTTATTTTAATATTTTAGGGAATTATTACTTTTTTGATAATGCCACACCCTATTAGTGATTCAAATCGTTAGTTAAAAACCAACTACTGTAGTTGACAACTAGTTGACTAATTGATTGGAAATTTTTTAACCAACTAATCATTGGTACCAGAAACATAGTATGAACAACTTGCTATATACAAAACCTTAGATTTTATTGGATAGCATATTCAAATAAATCATTGAATATGCAGAGTCATCATATGTACTATTAAATTTATGGCTAATTATATATTACTGGATTTGAACTAATATTAATTTAAATATGCTTTGATAAATATATATTAAAGAATATAAGTATTTTTGTTGATAAACTTGTGACTGTGCACAGCTTCTAAATTTTGGCATGTGCATATTAGATACGAGCATATACCTTACTATTTTTAGTAGTCAATTTAAGAATAAAAGATATAATATGATCTTCTGAATTTATTCGTTTTATGAATTTTAAGATAGATTTAGGTGGTAACTAAATTTTATAAAGCTTGTAATATTGTATAACTTCTGATTTAAAATATACTTTACAACTTTTGGCTTTATAAGTAAAAGAGATATAGTACAATTATTAGTTGATTAGTGATATTTTTTGAGATAATATAGATCTAATCCAAAAAAAGTATAGTGACTTTACATATATACGAATTATCCAGGTTTACTAATTTTCTTATTTTTCTCTAGATCGCCACCAACATTTTTACTGGCACGTGATTATGTATAACAAACTAAAAAATTCTTTAAGTTTGTTTAAGTTAGGGTTAGGGTAGGTTCATTTTAGAGTTAGAGAGAGCTATAGATAAAATTGCTCAAAGAAAACTTTTTGTTAAAGCACTAAAGGTAGTTTCTTATACTA